TTTTGATTATGCAAGTTTGTCTGGATAGGCCCTCAGAGTGTCAACCAGAATGTGGTTTCCGAAGGCAGCCCTGTTAGACCGAATTCCCACTAAGCGCGTCACGCGTTGGCGTCATCCGTCGCGTCACGAATTAATCAATCAAAACATCCCATTTTATTCCATTATTTGCCGCGCGAATAAAATGGGATGTTTTGATTGGTTAATTTGTAACGCGGCGGATAACGCGACGCGTGATGCGCTTAGTGGGAATTCGGCCTTAGGTAGAATATGAGTAATGGCTGCGTTTCGTAAAGCACATATGCGCGCATGTATCTACAGTATACGTTACGTATACTATAGATACATGCGCGCATATGTGCTTTACGGAACGCAGCCAATATCCAATAAGAGGTCTGTTCTTTATAGCTGAACTGGCTGCACTAGTTCAGAGTTTATCTTTCTCCTTTCAATGTGGAGGGAAAAAGATAAACTCTGAACTAGTGCAGTCAGTTCAGCTATAAAGAACAAACCAAAGATTACAGCATTTGGCGCAACTCAGAACATTGCATCTAGATATTCGTACTCATGACTGTTGAAATAAATATGCTGCTTTTAGGAACGCAAACTGACGCTAGAGTTGACGCTAACCGCAAAATATTCGAATGGGATATTAACCGATCGACGCGGTTTATTTCAGTGTTATTATCGTTCATCTTTACTGTTTACATCGGTTTTCTGTCTTTTAGAAGTTAATAAACGGTTGAGATACACGTATTCTAACTTAAGTGCTACTTGACTGTACATTGTATTTGGTGTAAGATACAACGTTCGATGCCTTCTCAGGATAGTAAGCGTAAACTGGAAGTTCTGCAAAAGACCCATGATGAATTGCAACGTTGTTATACTCTATTACGGCTGATTAGAACCGATCTTGAAAAGATAGCAAAGAATTTTAGTGATATAAGCGGTGAGTATTATATAATAGCTAAACTAATTGATGCAAAGTTGTAATATTCATGGAGTACTGTATCATTTCTTCCTACTAATTTTACTTGATTATCTCTATAATAGTCCCGATCTGAATTTTCATAATCCTATCTGTTTCTTTATATGTTGTATGCTACTGTTAACTTTATTTGTTAGCTGTACGATGTGTCAGATCATTCTCATATTGACCTAACGGAATTCCATATCTTTCTTTCCTAATGTCTTCTTCACGGAAATTAAATTGCCTATAATAATTGCTATTATTTATTAGCTCTTTGTTTTTAACCTATTGTCTCTTATATACTGATCTAGTTAAATTGTTATGTTCCATTCTTATTATATAAATAAGCTTGTTGTATATTCATGCGTTATCCTCTATTTGCCCATGAACCCATTTGTTTTATATTAAAACTGCCTATGTTTTCAATATTATTATTTTTATCATTCTTGCTTCTTTGATCACACGCAATCTCGGTCATTCTTTAACATTATCTATTTCTAAATCTATCTGTCAGAACTCGGGTCTTTTAAGTATTTTTTTGTTTCATAAATAAAATAACTATTGTATGCCATTTATTTAATAATATTTTTGTATTTATTAAAAATAAACATGTTAAGTATCTTAGAATCTCGACAATTAGTAATAAGTTGATGTTTCTAAAACATAGAACTTTTTAATTATAGCATTTTATAAATCAAAGTCATATAAGTATATACGTAATAAAATTTTATATAATGACTCATTACTCCACTCATTACGCTGTAATTCTTATGTTATTGAATGATTGTATAATAGTAGCTGAGATTGTGTTATAATCGTAAATGTACAATATCCTATGTAAGAATAAGTGATGAATGAATCTCTCTTGAATGAATTAAAAATTTGACATTATCGTGGTATATTTAAAAATATATATATTTGCTTGTTTCAGAGAAGTAATTGAAGAGTTGATGTAAAAACAAATATATAGAGCAAAATAGTTTGTACATATATATATATATATATATATTCTAAAGTCTTAAATCTTACACGGCAAAATGGAATCCCGTAAATCTATGATACACAAGAGGATAGAGTCTGTCGTGCAAAGTTTGCCATCAGAATCTTCTCCATCGCCATTGCGGAGAAAGTCTATTATCGCTCAAAACTCCTCTTTGAATATTCTTGAAAATGATGATGAGGCGGAACGTATTGCTCGTCGACGTGAGATGGGCTCGACATCGACGCCGTTATCCATCAATAACCACTCTAGCAAAAGACACTCTCTTGGCTTGGGATTCTTAGCAAATATTCCAGCACCCCAAATGGCTGAGAGTATCAACCAATGCATAAAACTGAGTACTGAGAACAAGATCAGCATCAAGAATGCATTTGGCTTGGAAATGATTGACTTTATGACATATATGATAAAGAAACAGGATGCCAATATGTCGAATCTTCAAGTGGCAAGTACATCTTTAGATGTTAGCACAAAGATTTATGGATTTCGCGTGGACAGTGTGCATACAGAGATACTTAAAATAGTTGGAGGACTGGACCATCAAATAGCTGATAAACAAAATTCAAAGGAGCAAGAAAATACTTTGGAAGAAGGCACGGAAGCGAACGTAGATGTGCAGAAAAAGAAGAGGAAGAAAAATAAGCAGAGGATCATTAGCACTGCGGAGGCTCTCAGAGTTAATATCGATATCGTGAAACCTATGTGTATGCAAGTAGGCGAAGAAGATTTGCAGACTACCGACATGCTGTACCAAGCGATGCTACCAAATCACGCGAATTCTGGTTTCTATCAGCATTTGTATAACGACGTGCTCGTGGATGTCGAGGATAACGCCGAATCGCGGAGCAATTCTAGTACAAAATATATCACACCGATAATTGATGATTCTTCGAATTCGGAGATCTGCATGTCGTATTCGAACTTTGAGTTTCTTGGCTGGTCCGTGGAGGACGAGCCGGAAGAGATGCCGGACAAGGAAGCCGAACTCAGCATTGATGACGGCAATCGGTTCCAGTTCGATCTGAATGCGAGTGTGGCAGAAGAAGAAGAGCACAATGGAACGAATAACGTCGAACCAATGAATTATTTCGATATTGAGCACGAAGACGGCAACATCAACAGCGACGTTGGCGGATGTTACCAGCAGGCGGCAGGGGCAAATCGTCGAAACGACAATATCGTGGACGTGCAGGTATCGGCTCAGACGCTCGCGTCTGAGTATTCCTTTGTACAACAGAGCGTGAGCTTGCACTGGGCCGGGCCCTCTCATTGGAAATTTCGGAATTTCGCGAAGCACTTCAATGCTACCACCACTACTGACAGTAAAGTGATGGAAGCTTGCATGCAAGCTCCGACTCGACAGAGAAAGCAGATCGTACTGTCGTACGATGAGATGAATCACGATGTAATAAAAGCAAAGTTTATACTGAGCCAATTAAATAGATTACAAGCAAAGACTGTGAAATCGGAATGGAGCACCGAGAGCGTGACGCTTCCCGAAGACGTGCATTACGATGTCACGCAGATGACCAAGCAGTACCTGCATCAATCTCTGACAGTGGCGAACAACAGCAAGAAACGCGATAACGCTGTGACCAATACAGGTATATCCGACAACGAGAGATTCGATTACAACAATCCCAACGATACATCAGAATACTGTCTCGATGTGAATAACGATTATGACGATGGGGATAAGGACGATTGCAACTTCGAGGACGCCGCTGCGTTGGCTACTCAAGGCTTTACCGGTGAAAATCTGGTCGCTGCGCCAAAACTGGCCAACAAGATGTCTATTGCGTACTGCGTAAAGGCAAAGAAGATTGATATGCGACAATTAAAAGAAACCATGTGGAAGTCTTTAAAGTCCACGAATGAGAAACTGGTGAAGGAGACCGAAGGGACGACGATGAGCAAGAAATTCAGCAGTATTTACAAAATGCTGCCGAATCTGCTGTCAAAGACCAATGTCGAGGCATTGAGTGCACCCGTTGCGTTTTTATCTTTATTACATCTCACAAATGAAAATAATTTGCAGATTTCTTCACAATCGGATTTGTCCGACGTTGCCATAGAGGACAGCTGAGAAGACTTGCTCGCACACGTGTGCCTTGTATACATACATTAAATAAACGTCATGTTTATTTAATGTAATGGCAAATTTCGTGTTTAATTATAATAAATTGTATGTTATTTTTTATATGTGCAAGAATAAAGACAAAGATATTTTTATGACAGACGCGAACTTTGTAAAAATTTTGTAAAAATGTGTTATTTTTTATACGTGCAAAAATCTATATTTATCTAATAAAAATAAATTAATAAGCGCGAAATTTTGTAAAAAATTCTGTACAATTTTGTAAAAATTTTGAAATTTGCCAATTTCATGTGTATTCGATGTATCGTCAACCGTTTGTTTATCTCGCACAAATTTGTCGTAAGTTACACGAGTTTTCTCGATGTTTTTACATATTTTGTCACATTTTACAAAATTGAGAAAAATGTTATAAATTGTATCTGATCTCGCGCATTTTGTTGTATTCAAAGAAGCAATATATATTTAAATTAATTAGCCATGACTATACCATCAAGATTGTTCCTGAATTTGATGCAACAATACAAATGTCAACCTTCTTTCTTACATCGCGGATTTTCAAAACCTTCACTGATCAATGATCAAAAGATCCAAAAGACTAAAGAAAAAAATGCGAAAGGGACAACGAAACGGGAGAAAAATCAAGATAAGAATATGCAAAAAGATGGCAAGACTGACATAAAAGTATGCATTATCGGTGGAGGAGTGACACCTCTTTACACCGCGATTCTTCTGAAACAATATCGGATTATCAAAAGTATAAATTTAGTGGACACAAAAGACTCCATGTCAGAAGCTATGATGGACACGTGTCATGCGGAAACCAATCCTTGTATAAATCATTTTCGGAAGAAGGATATAAAACAGGCCCTCAAGGAAGTAAGAACTTGCTTTATTTCGAGAGAAGATAAATACATACATAATTATTTTTTTTATTTCTCTAAGAATAGTTTGTGTGTGTGTGTGTATGTATATGAAACAGAATCAATTTTGCAATTGGCAATTTTAAATTTGAATTATTTTCAGGCAAACATCGTCGCGCTAATGGATGAGACGGACGTCGCCGCGATGGACAGTATGACGCCACAAGCGCAATTCAAATCAGCAGCTGATTATGTACGTCGAATGACGGATCAGATACTTCGCTTCTGCCCGGATGCTCTCGTGGCCGTGTTTGCGCGTCCCGTCACTGCCACGCTCGCGATGGTCTCGGAGATCTTTCGGTGTTCAGGCTGGTGGAATCCCGATCGGATTGTCGGCTCTACCGCGACGCATGGCGCACAAATCGAGAGAATGGCTAGGGTGCTTTTGAATTTGGAGGATGCAGGTCTCTCGGTGCCGTTGGCCGGTGGCGCCGATGTGCGCACTATCGTCCCACTCTTTTCGCGCGCCATTCCGTTCAACCAATTCACGAACGTACGAAAGAGAATAGAACGTAAACTTGCATAACCGCATAAAGAATGTGCAAAGGAAGTCAACGAATCATATGTTCAATATGAATTATGTGACTCATGCGATTGGTCGATTTTCTTATGTAGATGCATTATGCGATTATGCTATTTTATCTAAATTTACCTTAAAATTTTTTTGTTTAAATTATAAGAACAGTGAAGTCGATCTTCTATCTATAATCTATCTTCTATGGCTTTTGTCATTTTTCAATGACAGATCTTTTATCGCGAATATGAAATGATGATTCTTTTCGGAATTTAAAGTTAAATTTTAAATGTCAATTCTTTTAAATTTTTTCTTAGAGATGTAGGCTTTTTACGAAATACCCGCTTGCAAGATTTCGGCGTTTTAGAAAAAGGTTTGACTTTATTTTATAGAATAACGATTTGCAAAGAGAGAGCTTACACAATATGTATATAATTAGATATTATTTTGCAAATCTGAAATCAAATTTGCTACATATTTCTCATCTAAATATTTTCTTTTGTATGTATTGCATGTATGTGTATTTTAATTTATTACTTAATAAGCTTTCGTTTATTAATCAGTCACATTGACTTCACTTATAATTCACGAATTAACATTATCAGGCGCAACGTAAAATTCTATTGCAAACCTTTCGAGTCGGCGATGAAGCCACGAAATCGCTCAACGAGGGTCCGTCACTATCATTTGGAACGGCCGCTGCAAAGCTGATAACCACCCTCGGCAATGGTTTGTGTGGATTTGACCATGTTACCACTTGCGCTTATGTACGATCAAACGTACTGCCGGTCTGCCGATTTTTTACTAGCGAGCTGCAGTTAGGCCCGGAGGGCATCGAGCGAAATTTGGGTTTACCGAAAATTACACCTATGGAAATACTTTTAATTGAACAGGTGATACCTCATATCAATGAGTACATCGATATGGCAATTGCAGCAGTTCGCACAGAAAGAATGCGAGTGAAGACGCGATAATTATCAATTTGAGAAATTTTAGTAGAATTAATAAGAATGACGCGCAAATACACACTGAATGTTTCGAGTAGCTTATGATATATCTTTATCATTTTAGATATACTCTTTTTTTATGATTAAGATTATGACAAAAATTTGTAAAATAATAAATAAAATAGCATGTACAAATGTTTGTTGAAAAGTGAGCTAATATGAATAGGAAAAAACTCTTTAGTATAAAGTTCGACTTTGTCTATGTGTAGCAATTGAAGTCAATTTTCTATGTACTTGTTTCAATATTTGATTGGAAATGTATTTAAATGTGAATTCACGCTACGATACTACATTATAGCACATAGAAAAATTTGGGCGATAGATTTTTGTAATAAATGATTAGATTTAATAATAAAATTAGTAATTTTTAATCTAATTTATTAAAAGATGCTAATTTATTCTCAAGAAAATTATATATAATTATTTGCTCCTATTTTGATTGCATATCTAAATAGAGAATATATATGTATAAATATAGGAAATATGTAACGCGTTGAGAGTGAACGCGTGTGTTCCGTTTCGCGGAATGAAAGAAGTAGGACTTCATTGGAACATCCTATACACATTGGTACAATGCGTAACAGCATTGCGCACGTGTGTGGCGCTATGCGCGTACGACTTCATTGTCATTGTTCACCTTTGTTTTCCTTTCGATAACCCCTATTAATAAGCACGTCATGATCTGTCCAAGTCAGTCAAGTGTTCATCGGTAATAGTGGTATACGGGCTCGTTATCTTTCGTTGCAGAAAGTATTCAACTTACGCGTTCGTGGAACAATAGCTCGGGAAATACCGTTAAACTCGGAAGAATCGAATCGAACTAATGAGGCATATGTATTCTTTCCACGTAGGTTTTCGTGAGAATTCTTCAACATTCACACGTACGTTGTCGCGTTTATTCTTCAAATCAGTAATGATCTCTGGAGGAACAGTTTGAGTTCTCGCTGTGAAATTAACTCGAAGCAACGAGCAGCTCCTTTGAAGAATCAAGACTCCAAAGAAACGTATCTCGATCATGTGGAAACCCTTTGAGGCTGGCAGTTCGCCAGTGGATTGGTGCGAAGGCAACTATAGCATCTCACCCAGTATCGCCGAATTTATGAACACAGTAAGTATATTTTATACGCTTTTCTCTTACGTACAAATTTTGTATACATTTTTTAGCCAATTTGGGATATCAAGTTTTTCCGAACAAAAATGTCAAGGCATCAAAAGTTATGAGAATTATAATTAAATCGATTAATTAAAAATAAAAAGCTTAGAAACTAAATCTTAGAACTGCATATAGGTAGTAAAATTTTATCGTTTAATCATTTTGAGAAGAAAATTTAATTCAAGATTTAAGAATTTTTTTGTAATTTAAAATTAATTATTAGACATTTTTTATGAAAAATAGATTCCAGCCTTGTTAAAACAAATGTATAGATAGAAGTCCTTTAGATCAGAGAAAATCCTTTGCAAGATGACTAAGAAAACTATATCACTCTATGAGACATTATTCCTTTGTCTCTCACCTATAAGCAAGACAAAAGAGATGCATAGAAAGATAACAATCCCTGTGTACAAAGGAAAAAGATTTTGCACAATCAGTTTATCCGTTTAGTTTATAAATATCAAATTTTTATCTCCGATGTGTACAATAAATCCTCCATATTTTCTCATTCATATCACATTAATACAAGTTGCTTATTGATAATGATTTAATTTTTTGAATTTCAGACTATAATTTCAAACGATAGGGTTTTATGCATATTTTAAGTACGATTTATACAAATATATAAGAATATTTTAGATAAAATTCTAAAATAGCTATATATGAAATAATAATTAACTGTAAATAGTTGGAATAAAAATGTAGAAAAATATTTTCCATCATTTATTAATTCTCAATGTTCTTTTTGTTTAGTTCAGCAATTTGGTCTTTTTGTTACTTCCACCTATGCTCATGCATCTGTTCAGAGACTATGGACGTTTTGTAAATCCTGGAATTCACGTGATCTGGTTCTTATTGATGATAGTGGGACTCAGCAGTGCATATTTTCACGCTACTTTGTCTTTGATAGGTAAAAATTATGTGAATATATTAAAGATAAAAATAATCAATTATACCGAAATGATCTTGTAAATGATAAATGATTTTCTGTGACAGACTGATATCATAATAACTAATCTTATACGTAATAGGCCAATTATTAGATGAATTAGCCATTCTGTGGGTATACATGGCGGGCTTCTGCATGTTCTTTCCGAGAAGATATTTCCCAAATATCTTTCACAACAACAGGAAGCTTCTTTCTATATGTGCAACATTACCGACTCTGATCGCCACCGGCTTGTCTTTGATACATCCGGCTGTAAATGCTTTCGCATTGATGAGCTTGGGTATACCAGCATTCGCATTTCTGATCATAGAACTGAAGAGGTAATTTTTTTCTCGTAGACATCCGATATGAAAATTATACAGATTTAAGAATACAAATTGAAATAATTATAACAATAGTGATTTTTAGCGATAGATTTAGATATATGAAAATTGTGTAGAATTATACCGATTGGTAACGAGTATACGTAAAAATTTTACAGAACCACCTCGATGAGAGTGTACAGACTGGGGCTACGATGCGGCGCCGTATGGATACTGGCAGTCGCTTGTTGGTTAAACGACCGCCTATTCTGTGACACATGGCTGAATTTGAATTTCCCATACCTCCATGCGTTGTGGCATCTGTTCATCTTCATCGCAAGTTACACCGCAGCGGTGCTGTTCGCGTATTTCGCCGTGCAAGATGAGAAGCCGCAGCAATCGCCGGTACTCAGATACTGGCCTAGGGACGACTTCGAACTCGGTATACCATACGTAACTATTCGAAGTTATACAAAGATAAGCTACAACTCAAACATATAGCTATTCTCACTGTCAATTCGTGATAATTAAGACTAACGTATTATTTATCAATTGATATTCGAATTTCACCAAGTATACAAGTTAAACGCGCAAATGTGTGGTCTCGCGACTCGGATAAATATTAATTTATTCGTCGAAGTATATTTTATCTCATTTTGGAAGATTTATATGGATATGGAAAGTTTCAATTTTATATCGCAAGCAAAAACATATATACAAGAAGTTGGTACACAAGTGACACCGAATACTTCAGATTTAGCGATAATTTTACAAATCGTTCAATTTGTAACCCGTCACTTGGAACATTCGAGTATAGAGAATTCCACCTTACAATACTGTGGAAACGCTTCTTATATGTATATACACGAATGAACACACGATTGGCAATGTCAATAACTAACAAGCAATTTATTTTCAACAGTCAGTCTCAAGGTCTCTAGCCTAATGAATATTTTTATCTTAGTTTTTTTACAGTGATATTAGATAATAAAGTCTTTTTTATAGAAAATCTCTAAAACAGATCTTGTAAAGAAAGTACACAGCTCAATGCGATGACGATTTTTGTTTTATATTATAAACGATATAATTAGTTCTGTATATAATTGAAAATGACGTACGTACGAATGAAACAACCACGTATGCGAATAAAGATTTAGAAAATCGGGAATGATTACATATGTATATTAAGCAAATTAGAGATGATTTATGGATTATGATTATATATTGTGATACGTATTCTTGTTAACTTTTTTTACAAAGAACTATTTTGTAAATGTGTTCCAATGCAAATTGTTATGAAAAGTCGCAACGTGCACGAGCGCAATTTTATATTTTAAGTATGGGTAACGCGTAAAAACGTAGGTGTACTCAACTGAATGGGGTACTCGGGTACTCGAGAACTCGGGATTCCAATAGTTACCTTACATCTGAGATCTTATATGTATGTGCAATATAAAAGAAATTACGAATAAATAATTTTTAATTTATTGTAACTGTAATGTAACGTATTACAATCGAATAAAATTACAATAAGATCGGAATGTTAAAGGCTGTAAGCTGCAAAATATGGTTTGCGCGCATCTAAAATATGTTTAACTATACAAGTGTATTAATATATATATATATATATAAATTAATAGACAAATATACAAATTCAAATCTGTATAATTGTAGACCCGATTAAACAAATGCGACACAAATTTTAATCGTATTCTCCCCTGAAAGTCATAACATTTTTATCAGTTTCATGAATCTTAACCTCGTACAAAAGTTCTGGATTAGCCATTTGTCTCTTTAGTTCTTCAAATATATAAATAGCGAGATTCTCGGTTGTCGATATCGTATTTTTAAAATAATCTACCTGTTTATCAATATTTTTATGATCCATTTGATCCATTACAACCTTTCGAATGTAGTTTTTCAAATCATTCAAATCCATTACCATACCCGTTAACGGATGTACAGGACCTCGAACAGTTACTTCGACTGTAACGAAAGATCATCAATTCGATCATACCTCAACAAAATTTAAATTTTATACGTAATTATTGAGAAATTTAATATTAAAGATTGAAAAATTGGAAAGAATTCAAAGGCAATCCAATTAAATCACACACACACACACACACACACACACACACACACACACACACACACTCAGAATTTTAAAATTTTACATCGCACAATTATAAATTATAAATTAAGCAGTCTCAAAATTTTTTTTGAATAAAAAAAGTCAATTTTACATTTGATAAAAAGAATGCACCATCCTGTCGTAGACATCATACATGTTATGAATTATACATTTCACTGAACAAGATAAATATGTAAAATGCTGAAAAGCCAAAATATATACAAACCCGTGTAATTGTGTCCGTGTCCCCAAACGTTATTGCATTTTCCATAGATCAGTGCATTTTCCTCTTTACTCAGGAACGGACTAAAATTAAACACAAAACTTCCTTAAAGCATTCGCAATCGATTCGGAGTCGCATCATACACGAGATAGATTATCGTGAAATGTGATGAAAATTATTGGCCAAATATAAATATAAATGAAAGAACACAAGTTTAAAACTATCGCTTATGAAAGAAATTAGAATCGAAAGTTTGAAATACCTACATTTCGCGAAACTGATCAAAGAATGTACAGGTGACAAGTCATGTTCACCAGGTATGGATACACTTAAAAACTGTATCCTATTTAGCAATCGAGTTCATACCTATTCAAGCGATGACAGCACGATATTTGTTGTTTCCGCGTTAGATAAGAAATCGGCCTCTTCAGGTTCTTCGGATCCATTCTCAAATGCGAATATCAACAAGTTTGGATTGAGAAAATACACGTGTCAAGAACGTCTCTATATTCCTATCAATTCCTACTTTCAATCGCTAAGTCTCGCATCAGAGATCGTCGTTTTATCACATTTAGACAAGTGTAACAATAAGCGTTATATATTTAAGCAAAAATGATTTTTTTTTTTTTTCGACAGCTATTCAAGCAAATAATTAGAATAAATATTTAGAACTGTCAACTAATGTGCCGACTAATCCGCTCTTCAATCACCAGCAGTGATGCTATTTCAAGCATCGAGCAACACGACACACCAAGTGAGAACCGCCAAGTCACACATACGCGTCCATATGCGCTCCGAACACAAACAGATCACTCAGGGCTCACCACGGTTCACGGAATATCTAGATGCGAAGCTCAATACAGCTCGACGTAGTAAAACTAAGGTCGAATTCCCACTGAGCGCGTCACGCGCGCGTCATCCTTCGCGTCACGAATTAACCAATCAAAACACCCCATTTTATTGCATCATGTGCCGCGCGACTCTTTGTGCGACGCATCGGTTCGCTTGCTTGACATTCTAGAGACAAAAGATTCTTTCTTTGTACGAGATCCCAGATCGGGCGCATTCGTTATGAGACAGGTCACAGAAAATGTAACAATATTCGTAAGTTCGAAATTATTATTTAATACTATTATTAAATAATTATTGGCTTAGTTTACATCGATTGTTTAGTACGCGTACCAAGTACTAAATCTGCTTCTCCGATAGATATAAATCGTTTAGTGTAAAATCTATACCAATCAAAGAAGCAGATTTAGTACTTGGTACGCGTACTACACAATCGGTGTAAACTAAGCCATTATTCTCTACTATTATCTTTTGTCTCCTTACGGCAACGCGTTCAGTGTAAATAAGAACGACGCTATTTTTCAGCTTACCTTGCGTCGCGTCGTGACGCGGTCATGATGCGACGCGTGACGCACTCAGAGGGAATTCGGCCTAAGGCACTAAAACTGTGAATATTCTCACGTCTGTGCCATTTTTGGCCCATTCCCCCATTCCTTGCCCTCTTGCCCATTTATCGCTGAGCTAAGAAGTAACTTACTTCTTAGGCAAGAAGTGGGGGAATAGGCTAAAAATGGCGCAGACGTAAGAATACCTACATCTTTCATGGAGGACCTGAAGAGAGCATTAGACGATCGAGCGTTAACCGCGATGGCCTATGTACCGGAAGCAAAATTCTGGGCGGGAAATTTTGAAATGGTCACAGGCGTAATTTGTTGGTTCTCAATCTGGGTGATCAACAAATTGTATCTATTTCTTCCGTCTTTCCGGATCTTTCGGAAACCTGAAGGAATATTTTGTTACAAAGTTTTATCATTTTTAAACGGTTGTTTAGAACATAACGCTCTACTAAGCATAAAAAAGGCACCTAAAAGTAGCGTTTCCGAAGCATTGTTAATTTTATTTACTCACATGTGAAAAATTATAGATGTATTTATGGATTTCGATTTTGATCGACCACAAATTTTGCAACTACCTTTTTTTTTTTTTTTTTTTACTCATAATTACAATATAAAAGGTCTGTTCCTTTTAGCTGAACTGGCTGCACTAGTTCAGAGTTTATCTTTCTCCTTTCAATGTAGAGGGAAAAAGATAAACTCTGAACTAGTGCAGCCAGTTCAATAAAAAACCCGGGTATTCTCTGAGGGTGGTGCTCTAGGGGACTCATTAGAGGAAAGCAAACCTCAATAAAAAACTCGGGCCCACCGGGCACGTTAGCCCAGTGGGACAGCCGGTCGAGGGGGGGAAGCCTGGTTAAAAAGCCTATGGAGATGGAAAACTCCGAATCAAACCGGGGACTTGACCAGTTTTGTCAGCACTCCGGTGCTTCGGCATAACGGCCGGCCCTCATTGCACGTGGAGGGCGGCTCCTCATATCGGGGGGTTAAAGTTATGGGTCGCCATTATTTTTTTTTGTTTGAAACCGAGTACCTACGTCGATGCGTCTCGTTGAGAAAAGCAACTTTGGTCCTATAAACATACAGCGGACAACGAATATTTACGGAGTTATAGCTTTTTTTCATCGCCGATTTTTTGGTTATCGGGGCCTACAACTCGAAAACTATAGGAGATAGAAGATCGGATCATAGCACCTTATTGGCAGGGTATCGAGAGATCTTTCAATCCCACCAGGCGGTTTTTCGAAATTCGTAAATTTTTGAAAAAAATTTGGGATGTTGGGGGTAATGGGTCACTACCATTTTCGTTTGAAACCGAGTATCTACGTCGATGCGTCTCGTCGAGACAAGCAACTTTGGTCCTATAAACATACAGCGGCCAACTAATAACTACGGAGTTATAGCTCTTTCTCGTCGCCAATTTTTTGTTTTTTTTGTTTTTTTGTTTTTTTTGTTATCGGGGCTTATAACTCGGAAATTATAAGAGATAGAAGATCGGACTACAGAACCTTATTCGCAGCGCATCGAGAGAGGTCTTTCAATCCTTCCAGGCGCTTTTTCAAAATTCGTAAATTTATGAAGAACTTGGAGAGGTTTTCTCTTATATCTCCGCAGAAGTTATCGCTAGAGTCTCGAGGATGGTGCTATTCGACGCAAGTCGATCCTTTCCCACATATTCCTTCATACAACATCGGGGAATTTGCCGTTTTTTGGTAAAAATTAAAAAACGTTGTTCGACAAACAAACTTAATTACTCCTATTTCTAGCTCATCTGCCAAGTGTTCTCTACCACCAGATACAATTTTATACATCAACACAAACGTTCCCTCCATTTTTCTCAACTTTTTGTCCAAATTTTTTTTTTATTTTTGATAAAAAAACTCAATTTCTCCTATGCCAACCTTCTCTGCCAAGTGTTCTCTACCACCAGGTAAAATTTTATACATCAAAATATCGATCTCTCCATTTACTGAGATGCATGTGAATCGACCTTAATGTTCGGCGCCGGCGATCTCGTTACATCATGTTTGCTTATCTGTAATATTTATTACCACGGTTCGTGAAATGCGCGCACGATATTTCGTTGATTCGTGCCGCTGTATCGATGCTTCGTCCGCGTATCGCCTGTGGGTTTGCGATTCTTCTTTCTCCATCCATTTTCTCGCGCCTACGACTGCTCCTGCGTCATCTCTGCAAAAGAAAAGGGTAATGGGAATCCCGGAGATACAAAATGTCGAAAAAAAAGTGAGCAGGTAGATCGATAGTACTCGTCGAGACAAGCAACTTTGGCCCTATGAACTATACGGCGGCAAAGCTCGGTTTGGGCTCACGAGCCCCCGAAAGATTTCGATCGTCGACCTTTTTAATTCGGTAACTCGGTAATTACGGGAGATGGAGGGTCGGACCTCAGGACCTTAATCGGAGGGCACGGGGAGGTGTTTCGAACGCGCGCGGCCGTTTGCCGAAATTGTAAAATTTTTTTTCTCTTTTCACCCTTCATCCCTTATATCTCGGCGGGGGTTGGTCGGACGGCCTCGGGACCGGTGGCATTCGACGTAACTCGACCCTTTCCCACGCTACCCTCTATACAAGCGTCTATCTCGAAGGGTTTCCGAGATAATTGGAGACAAAGAATTTTCTCGTAAGCGACTTTCGTGCGAATTATTATAATTAATTATTTTTTTCAGGTTCCGAAAAGTGGGGTCCTACGTGTTCGGGAGGTCGAGAACGTCGTTGGAACCCGCGAGTTTGGGAAGGTTTTTTTTTTTTTTTTTTTTTCCCTTCACAGGTCAGGCGAGACTTTGAAAATTTCTAATTACAAGTATTAGTGAGGTTGTAATATGTTGTAATATGTTGCCAGATGAAAGTGAATTTAGAGGTGATTCGCAGGGCGAGCACTATTCTATCTATAAAGGCGTCATCCAACGAGGATCCGGATTATTGGAAAGCCAAATTTTATGAAATGGAAAAGATTGCAATGGAGGAAAAATGCAAATCAAATGCCTATGAAACTGAACTAAAAGAGGTCAAAAGGACCTCCACAATTAAAGCGTCTTACGATATAGAAACATCGGATGCTCTTGATGATGACCTGTTGCGTTCTGCTTCTTCTCATCAGGAGACAAAGAGTGTTTCTCTCAGGAACAGAGAAGTGGTTATGGATACTAACAAAAGACCTGAAGAAGAATGGAATAACTCATCTAGAAATAAAATGGACAGACTTGATATGGATCTGGCCATGATACGCACCTTGGATAAACTTGGTGAAGGGATGTCACACCTGATTAGGGAAACGAGATTGCTGAGGGAAGACCTAGGCACGCCACGTGAAGTCGTTGGCCCGGTCACGAGTGGCACTCCGGTGATGGCTGCATCTGGAAAAAAGAAAAGAAACATTAATAAATTAAGTGATATTGAGTGGGAAGATAATAAATCTCTAAAGTCGGGAGCGTTGCGTAAGGCTAATAATAATAATAATAAGAAGGGGAATAAAACTAAAAATGATAATATTACACGAACCGAGCAGGGGGAGGATTCGGCTACTTCAACCGATCTCCTTCAACCTAAACTTAGAAAAGAAGTTGTCTTTGTGGAGGACACACGCGGTAGGCACCTGAATAAAGTGAACCCGTCGTATTTGATGACAAGTGTCAGTGAAGACGAAATAATCAATCATAATAGTAGGTATGAACAAGGTAGATTATCAGTGAATAACTCTGTAACTAAACGTTCTTATAAAGAGGTGGTTGAGTCTAGTCCCAGACGGGATCCGAAGAGAAGTGTTCCGCGGATTTCAGAAGGTAGAGAGACATTAAGCTCCCTGAAAAAAAAAAGTACCTAGTACAGCAGCAGTTTCTATACTCTTAGATGAATCTGAATTGACGTACTCTAGTTTGTTAAGCAGGGCAAGGGAAAAAATGTCGCTCAGTGATCTGAACATCTCGGACACTCGCTTAAAAAGGGCAGCAAATGGGGGAATTATATTAGAGATTCCCGGGGATGATGCGGGAGCTAAAGTGGACAGACTCTGTGACAAGCTCAGGGCTCTGTTCGTTGACGATAAGGGTGTCTTTATTCGAAGACCGACTAAATTAGCACAACTTAGGGTATCGGGAATGGATGACTCTATCACTGTTTTGGAGATAAAAGATCATTTGTCGCGAATTGGTGAGTGCACTGTAGGTGACATTTCGTGTGGAAACATTAGATACGTTCGGGGAGGCCTGGGGGTATTATTTCTAAGATGCCCAGTCTCGACAGCTGTTAAAATGCTCGAATCTGGGAAAATGAATATTGGTTGGTCGACCATCCGGGTGGAAGCACTTAGGGCAAGGCCACTGCAATGCTTCCGCTGTTTAGCAGTGGGGCATACCGTGCAGAGGTGCCCGAGTACGGTGATACGGCGTTTCAG